TGACTCTAACCTGTTGTTTACAGCTTTAAACAAAGTATACCTTCAACCAGCGTGAACCTATAAGACACAAGAACCTTAGAAAAATCATCGGCAGATGTCGATTCCAAACTGGTAGCTCACAGAGGCTGCACCAAGGCCTATTCTTGTAATGTTAACCATTTTCTACATCTCTATAAAGCTATAAGAACCTCACAAACATTCTTAAAAGAATAATTACTGCTTCTAGAAGACTCATAAAAAGACCGCTAGACATAACAACCCAAGTGGCTTCTACTGCTTGCGAAAGGAAAGCATTTTCTTTGCTTCTGTGAGGAGCTCATACAGGGGACTTTAGCCCCTGTAGAGGTCGACTCAACATTCTGCTTTGCTTCTGTGAGGGGCCCCACAGGTGACTTTAGCTCCTGCAGGACCGCGCTCACGTCATTTCCAGAGAAATAAACGAATTACAACCAAATAAACTCGAACAAAAATAACCAGAAAAAAATACATTTACAAAAAAACTTACGTCATATAGTTGCACGCTCACTAACCTGAAACAACAGAAAAAAAATTCGTTAGTTGAAAATAACAAAAAAATAAATAAATGTTATAACATACCTGATTTTATCTCGTTCTAGGCTCCATCCTACTGCCCATATCTAGAAAATTTTTGTTCCAGACCATTGCACCATTGTTCCTACCTAGAAAAAATAAAAACAAAAATAGATAATACTTTTGTAGAAATTAGTAATGGACGAAAAATTAATAAAATATCAGTAAAATATTAGAAAATCTTAGTGTAATCTCTTTTTGAAATAGTGGGTGAATAATATTGTAATTTTATTTCACCCTATAGTAGAGAAACAAACCCTATAGCATAGGATATAACATTTTAATAAACAGTGCTTTCCATAAAATCAATAAAATGAAAAATCTACGAAATAATATACATGTACTGATTTCTTTCGAAAACCGACAACTATGAAACTATGAACCCTTCCCGGACACAAACGGTACATTGTGAGGTAGGAAATTGTAGAAAGAAACAAGCCCTGTAACAAAGGATACAACATTTTAATGAACAGTGCTTTCCATAAAATCAATAAAATGAAAAATATACGAAATAATATACATGTACTGATTTCTGTCGAAAATCGACAACTATGAAACTATTATCCCTTCCCGGACACAAACGGTACATTGTGAAACAGGAAATTGTAGAGAGAAACAAGCCCTATAACATAGGGTACAACATTTTAATGAACAGTGCTTTCCATAAAATCAATAAAATGAAAAATCTACGAAATAATATACATGTACTGATTTCTTTCGAAAATCGACAACTATGAAACTATGAACCCTTCCCGGACACAAACGGTACATTGTGAGGTAGGAAATTGTAGAGAGAAACAAGCCCTATAACATAGGGTACAACATTTTAATGAACAGTGCTTTCCATAAAATCAATAAAATGAAAAATCTACGAAATAATATACATGTACTGATTTCTTTCGAAAATCGACAACTATGAAACTATGAACCCTTCCCGGACACAAACGGTACATTGTGAGGTAGGAAATTGTAGAGAGAAACAAGCCCTATAACATAGGGTACAACATTTTAATGAACAGTGCTTTCCATAAAATCAATAAAATGAAAAATCTACGAAATAATATACATGTACTGATTTCTTTCGAAAATCGACAACTATGAAACTATGAACCCTTCCCGGACACAAACGGTACATTGTGAGGTAGGAAATTGTAGAGAGAAACAAGCCCTATAACATAGGGTACAACATTTTAATGAACAGTGCTTTCCATAAAATCAATAAAATGAAAAATATACGAAATAATATACATGTACTGATTTCTGTCGAAAATCGACAACTATGAAACTATTATCCCTTCCCGGACACAAACGGTACATTGTGAAACAGGAAATTGTAGAGAGCAACAAGCCCTATAACATAGGGTACAACATTTTAATGAACAGTGCTTTCCATAAAATCAATAAAATGAAAAATATACGAAATAATATACATGTACTGATTTCTTTCGAAAATCGACAACTATGAAACTGTGATCCTAAATTAAAAAAAAATCCTAGAATGCATAAAAATATCATTTTTAGACACTTACCAAAAAAATCATAAATTTCTCTGTTCCTTTTCAATCTTCTTGTCCAAATTTGGTGTAGTTCTTCTGTTCAGCATCTTGTTCTTTGAGTTCCAGCCTGTTCCATGAATCCCGGCAATTTATTTTCCATCACTCGCGTCCCGATACACAGAACCAACCGGAATGGACAGGTCACACCCTCCAAATGCATGCCTCGAAAGATATCCATTTGGCTGGCACGGCTCAGGGTGTATATTCTTAGGCCATGATGAACTTGTACGTCCCAACATGACTGGAAGGCCTTACCCTACGTCCATGCCCGGTCCCGACGCGCGCGTAGAGTCACGAAAAACGGCGAATGTTGAGAAACGGGAATTTTGAGAAACGCAAATTTTCACGAACGTGAATTTTGAGAAACGCGAGATTCTGTGTATTATTGAGTGAAATTTAAATGTTCATTTAGAATGTTCAATTGAAGTTAAAATAGAACGATTTATGCGGATGGTACGTATAACAAATCACGCCAGCAGTCCTGAAAAAATAATAAACGTATATCAAAATGTGCCAAACTAAGAAAGGAAGGCATGCCAGACTTACCTCACTAACATTAATAATTCTGAAATAGAATATGCTGCTCTTCCTGGTTCAGCATTACTGAGACTTACTGAGGGGAATAGAAACAAGAATTATTCAACTGAAACACTAAAATAAATTATTAGAAATTAGCGAAATCAATTTCGACATATTTATCAGAGGCGTGCAAATGGGTTATCACTGGAACATTTTTCTAAAAAAAGCATGTACGCCACTGCCTTTTTTTCTCTTGTTAGCGAAATAGCCTAAGCAGTTTAATGCCGATTAAAAGTGGTCTCTCGATATTTTGTCGATTTGGGCTTCCTTGATGAGATAAACGCAATTTTATTAATTTGCCTTGATTCAAGTCTGATAGTAACCTTTAAAAAAAATTAATATCATTAACTTACGAAAGTTTTAAATAAGTACTCATTGAGTCCACATCAAAAATTATGAAAAAAAGTTCCTATAAACATGGGTATTGAAATGCATGGTTGGACTAATAGTAATAATAAATAATAGTAATAATATTTAATAATAAATTAGGTAAAATATATAATTTATTAATTTTATTTTCGCCGAATTTGACGAAATATCAAGAGATATCAAAAGAACACCCTGTAGCTACGAAACAAAGCAGAACCGGAGGAATATTGATATGAAAAATAAATCTTATTTTTACGTGAAGAATTCCCCATGAGAGATGGCACATGTTTTTTGAAACACCCTGTATAATTATTTAGGAATCTGTATATTAAAGTTGTGAATTAAAATTATAGTTATAGCATGTTCACAATATCAAATAGCAAAACAAATAGAAGGTACTGGTATTTCTGAAAGTAGTTCCACGAGCTTAAAATTCCAGAAAGTTTAAATTTGGCGGACTTAATATATAAAGTGTATGTTTGGTTGCCTTACTTTTGTTTATATATTTTATTTTTTAAAACGATTTAATTAAAGAAATGTTTAAACTTATGGTATTAGAACTTCAAAAACAAGTTTAGTAGATAAAATTATATCATTAAAATTATAAATACTGTCAAACTACACCAAATAAAAGCGTCTTTCTGCATAATATGTTTAACGGTTTAAGAATTTTATTTGTTTAAACTTAGGACATTAAAAGAGTGAAAATATCTCTAATTATTGCAAAATAAGAGGCCTAATAATTATGTGTTTAACAAAAAGTTTTAATTAAAAAACTCTAGGAATGTTGTGTATGTCTGGTTGCCTTACTTAGTATGGCTATTTATTTTTTATTTTTAAAAGAACATGTTTGCGAAAATATTAAAGAATAATGGTATTATAAAACCAAAAACATGGTTCAAAAATAAATTAATTTTTTTAAATCGATATGTCAAGTAACAGAATTTTGCTGCTAAATGTAGATTACTTATGAAGATACATATTATGGTTTTTGATGAAAGATTTTCAGTTTATTACTTCATTATTTAAAAAAATCTTAAATGAAAATAAATTTCTAGCAATATGTATTATAAAATTATCCAAAAATTCTTATAGTAAGTAAAATGTTAGTTAAATGTAAAAGTAGTAGGTACCATTTTTAAATTTTGGATAATTGTTTTTAAAGTATAACAGGTAAAAAATTAAGAGCAATATTTATACTCTTGAATTAAAATATGTGGGGATTCCAATATAAAAATTTAATTTAATAAATCTTAAACAAAAAGTGTATATCTGGTTGCAGGTTAACACGAGTCCTGTAATTTAAACGGAACTCTTGCTGGATTCCTAGAAATTATATGAATTTGAGAGAGTTAATTATTTAAAATTAAAGGAAATAACTATTATATTTAATAAGAGAGCAAATAAGGCAGTGAAAACTACCCTCATTAATAAAATTTGCAGGATAACAAACACTACTTTTATTTGCAAATATTGTGTTAGGCTGTTTTCAGATCATTTTAAAACTATAGGAAGAATTAAAGGATATCTGTGACAAACTAGAATAACAATAAATTTTGAACAAATCAGGTTACTAATCTAAATAGGACAATATAATAAATTAAGGACAGTATAGAACAAGGAGAAATCTTTTTCACATAAGGACACTGAAAAAGTCATAATTCAAAAATTATATTAAATAAACCAAATAATGTAAGAAATGATAATTAATGAATTTATTATCAGACATTTAAATTTAAAAATTAATTTTTTATTAATATAAACAAGTTATTTTAAAAAAGGTTAATGGTTTTTACGGTTGATACTAACCATTACAGGACAGGATCAAAGACAGCAGATCAGGATTTGACAGGATTTCGGATTAACAGGATTTTTTCAACGCCTACTATTCATGTTCACTAAGAAAACATTTTTTTTCTTTACTGAAACATTAAACTAGCTCCTCCGCCAAAAAGTAAGAATAACATTTTTTTTTTCTTTATTATTGTAACATTTTTTTTTAAATAAATAAATATGATGTCTTGATCAAACGCCGTCTTGATGTGTCTTCTGCAGGATAATGAAAAATAGAAGCATGAGCAACACCAGATCTGGAACAATACAAAGAAAATAACAGCATTAGAACGATTAAAATGACGTTAAAAAAAGACACAAGTACCAAGACTACCAGTAAATATTACTGAAGAACGACATTAGTAAAAATAAATCTGTACAATGCTCTACAATATCACAGTAAGGTGTTTTCCCTAACTCAAAACGCCATTAAACTCCCTAAGAAAAGCCCTAAAAATAAACACAAATATAAGAATTTTATCAAAAACTACACCATAGACTTAAAATAAAATTTTATTTTAAGTCTGTGGTTTACACCCTATAGTCTGTCCAACAAGAGAATTCCTGACAGTGACAATTATTGTCTCTGTCAAATGCATTTTCTGTCATTTTTTGGTTAACGTCTTCTGTCGAAATCTTCTCTGATTCGTAACACAGACTATAGAATAAATCATGGTCAAACAACCAATAACAACACTAAATCACACTAAATTTTATGACATTTTTTTATAAATTTAGAATTGATTGCCACAAATCTATTTCTCAAAAAGAAAGACTCCAAAATCATAAGTTTCAGTGTTGCAAGGATGCACTTTCACTCAAAAAAATACCAAAGAAAAAATATAAAATATTGAACACAGTGTTTTAAAGGCCAATGCTTGAAATTTATACAAAAAAAACTGCATACCAATTACAGAAAGAAAAAAATGAAACTCATGAGCTAAAATATAAAGTAACAGATATATAGAATTTTTTTATGTAGATTTCCATTCTTGATTTAAAATTTACCACCTTTTATTATGCTTTTCCAAGAGTAACAGAATTATAATTAATTTATTACTATGCCAATACATAAATTATTAGAAAATATCGAGACCATAGTTAATAATAACTAAAAATTGAGATACAGAGATTAAAACACCTTAAAACACAAAGAAGCTTATGAAGCATTTTAAAAAACAGACACTTTTGATAACCTTGACGAAAAATTAACCATTTTACTGGTAGGTAATTTTATAAAATAATTTATTTCGATAAATTAAGCACAATTAAGATTCATATCGCTCAAATTCCAGTTATTTCACTAAAAATACACAATTTCACTGGTAAAAACGGTATAAAAACACGAATATCTCATATATTTTATTATTAATTATTATTTAAGGGTTAATTATATTTATTTTGGTCAAGAGTTAGGGGCGGCCATGATACTCGACGGCCATCTTGACTTCCCCCAAGCCGCGAGAAAAAAACTTAGTTATTAAAGGAAAACTACAAAACACTCACCCAATTTGAGGGTCCCAAACCATCTCTGCCATGTTTGCGGACACAAAACACTTGTGTTCAGTAGTCGGGCATGATTAATTACCAAAATAAACGATGGTACTGATGGAGTAACCGGCGTACAAGCTCCACTATCAAGTGTTGGGGATCTAATGAGGTCACGATGGAATCAGGGGATGCGCGCTCACGTGACGCTAACGGCCAATCAGGAGTCGTCAATCTTCTTATGGGGATCTCCGTAACAGATTTATTTAAGGGTTTGTTTTATAAAAATACATTTTTCGGCAAATAAATGCTTGTGATTTAATATATAGACCCTAAAAAACGATATAAATGCAAAACCCAATGTTGGGAGTCGTTTTTAAGGCATATTTTTGGAAAAAATGTTTAACATGGAGGTCTCCATAAGAGATTTTCTAGCAACTTTTCTATATAAAAAATACATTTTGGACTAAAAAACCTTTGAAATATAAATTACAGGCCCTAAATTATAATACAAATACAAAACACAGTGTTGGTATTCATTATTTTAGTTATATTTCTCGAAAAATTATTTAACATGGCGATCCCCATAAGAGATTTTATTAATGGTTTTTTTTATATAAAAAATGCATTGGGCAGCAAAAAAATCTTTGATATATAAACTACAGGATCTAAAATATGATATAAATACAAAACACAGTGCTGTAATTGATTATTTCAGTTATAAATTTCGCCTGATTCTGAACTCCTCCAAATCATCTATACAGGGTGGTCCGAACTGTATTCCGGAAACTTCGGCAGCATATTCTGCAGATAAAAATAAGTAAAAAAAGTTCGAAATCAGTATGTCCTAAAATGCTTAGTTTCGGAGATACAGGGTGTAGAAGTTTCATTTTAATTTCGATTTTTTCCAAGTAAGTTATAAAGTAACGTCAATATTTGGATGAAAATTGGTGTTTGGGAGTTTTTTGATATGAGAAATTTGATTTTGATGTCAATATGACTCCTAATTGTAGAGGGCGCCAACTACATCTGTTTTAACTGTTTTGAAGAGTAATAACTTTTTGTCCGTACCTGTATAAAACTGCTGAGTAAAAAAATATATATTTACGATATTTTTTACGTAAAATAAGTATCTTGGTAAAAATCGCTACGAGTAATGGTTCTCGAGATATTTGGAATCAAAATTATCATTAATTTAAATTATTAATTTAAAAAAATAAAAACTTCCTCAATTAATATCTTGAGAACGGTTGCTCGTAGCGATTTTTACCAAGAGACATTTTTTACGTAAAAAGTCACGAAAATGTACATTTTTTGACTCAGTAGTTTTATACAGGTACGGACGAAAAGTTATTACTCTTCAAAACAGTTAAATCACATGTACGTGACGCCCCCTACAAATAGGAGTCATATTAACATCAAAATCAAATTTCGCATGTCAAAAAACTGCCAGACACCAATTTTCACCCAAATATTGACGTTAATTCAGAAATTATTTGGAAAAAATCGAAATAAAAATGAAACTTCCACACCCTGTATCTCCGAAACTATGCATTTTCGGGCATACATTTATACGAACTTTTTGACTTATTTTTATCTGCAGAATATGCTGCCGAAGTTTCCGCAATACAGTTCGGACCACCCTGTATTTCAAATTAATATAAGATGGAAATAGTTTTTTTTATCTTATATCTCTATTTCAAATACTTGTATCTGAAATAAGTAACAGCTCTGTATTTAAGTAATATTTAGAAAACAGTACTAAAACTATAAATTACAAAAACAAAAGTTCCCATGAAAACATAAACACGAAAAAAAAAATAAAACGGTTAAAAGCTCACTTTCCAACTTTCAGGCGTGGTGATATATCTTTTTCATCCCACCACCTCGTTTTAACAAGCAGAAATATATGTGTGAAATAGCCGAAAAAGACGACGGTATGACATATGAGATATCTCATTTTTTAACTGGCTTTTATTCGTAAACGCAATAAAAAAGGCCTTGAAGTGCAGCCATCCCTATAAAGTATAAAATATCGTTTACAAAATATTACAAAAATACATATAAATGTAATGGAGAAATTTTATTACATTTTAGTGTATACAAACATTGGCATAACCACAGGGGGACCGGGGGTGCCCCCCCCCCAGGTACTGCCGGACACCCCCCAGAGAAATCATGAATTATGACTCTTGGCTACGTATTAGTTTTTATTTGCTTGTGATGCAGTAAAAATTACGAAACCTTCTCTATGCACCTAACGATTTATGGACTATTCTAGAGATCTTTAGCTGTCGGTATAAAAGCCGGCGGCTGTGGCCTACAGAGGGCAGTTATAAATAGACGAATGCAGTTGACGCGCTGAAATTCAAAATAAATTCTTAGATATAAATCGTTTGTAAATAGTTCTATAAGTCTTTTATCGTTATTGTTTTTGTTAATTAGTGTTAAATAAATAGTGTTTAAATAAATTGTGACTTTCTATCCACACGGAACCGACGAAAAACGTAACATTAGTATGAAAATTTGGCGAAATACGTCAATTTACATATCATGGGGGGCAATTTTTGAGGCATTTGTTGACGTGTTACTTTCAACCATAAAATTTTATATACCAACCCCTATTTCTTTTACCACTTTTGTGTTTCTTATAGAATTCTACATAAACTGCATTATTTTTTTGAGAATTTTATAAGGAACACAAAAATGGTAAAAGAAATAGGGGTTGCCATTTAAAATTTCAGGAGTAGGTACCCTGGGGGTCAAGGGGTTGAAAGTAACACGACAACAAATGCCTCAAAAATTGTCCCCCTTGATATGTAAATTGACGTATTTAGCCAAATTTTCATACTATCATTGGTAGAGGTAATATTAAATACTGTTCGTTTTCAAATTGCCACCCTGTATAACCTATAGAGATCACCCGTTATTGACTTTGTTTTATATATTTAGATACAAAATTCTGTTAATTTTTCTAAGTAAAGATTAAAAAAATGCTGGAAAATATGTTTATTTCTATTTTGTAAATTAAATTTCACAACATAATTAAAGCAATATGTTTAAATTAAAAGAAAAAAAAAGCTTCAGCTAAGCTGACGATTTAATTTATGCATTAGGGTGTCATGAAGAAAATTAGTGATGATGTTAGGTAATTTATTATATTTTTAATAAAAATACACAGTGAAAAAAAAAACGTTTAACACGAAGGGTGTTGTTAGATTAAGTAATTTTCGCTGATAATCGATCATATAGGATGTTCAAAATTCAACGCCAAACTTTCTAAAATACAAAATATTTTTTTTCTATTTTCTTTAAACCGATCTCGCTGTATATTATTTTTTCAGTAGATGGAGAATTATAAAATGAACATTTTTTGTATTTAGAGTATTTTAAAATTTTTATCAAAGCAACCCAATGATTTTTCTCTCGTATTTTACCGTTGAAAGAGCCATATGAAATAAAACTGCCTGTATCTGCAAAACCATTCGAAATTTTGAAATACTTTAAATACAAAAAATGTTCATCTTTTAACTCTCCATCTAATAAATAAATAATATACAGGGTGTCCCATTAAAAAAAAATACAGAAAAGTTTTGCGTAGAATTTTGAACACCCTGTATGACTTAAGATTTATGATATTTATCGCAAAGTAAGTATAGACCATCTAAAGTAAATACCTACTTTTGGTTTCAGAACAGTTCTTGTATTTTTAATATTTTTTATTAAGAAAGGCTGAAAATATATATTTTTTATTTATTTGTTAATATCTCTGAAACTATCGAAATATATTTACTATATCTTAGGATTGTGCAAATTGGATCTCAAAGGAAACTAAAAATGCAATAATATACAGGGTGTTTCATTTAAAAAATATCATCCCGATCCACTCGCACTTTTTTGAGCCAAACAAAATTCCCAAGTTTTTTATTCTAGCAACTACAGATACCCGACGCACTATTGTCGGACCCTGTATATTCCGTTGCATGTGTCTTGGCTGTTTCCCGATTTGATTTCAATACGGAAAAATTCATTACTTTTCCGAATCAGAATTCCCAATATTCTCAAATTTAAATTGAACTCTGTCCCAACCGAGACCAATAAAAATGTACAGCATTTTTAAATAAATTTTATTATTGCCATTACGAATATAAAATGCCGAAATGGGACAAATTAAATATCGAAACCGCGTTCCCTTTGCTTTTATTATTTTGATTTATTCATCTTCGTTCGAATATTCCCAACGAAAATTTAATAAATAATATTGAAAAAGAGCGCTTTATTTGAAACAGGCAGAGACGATTAGAGAATTCAAAAATTCTGGTTTCGTGTTTACGTTGCTACTTCTAAATTAGGTGAACTCATTGAATGAAAGTACTAAAGAAAAAGTTTAGAAAGATTTTTTTTTCCTCAAAAAGTATGCAGAGTGGCTTTTTTTACAAGAAAGAAAAATTCCGAAGAAAGAAGAAATTCCGAAGAACTAGTTCCAATGTACTATTTCGACCCCGTATTGAAAAGAACTAGGTCCCGGTTTCTCACAAAGAACTAGTTCCTCAGGACCTATTCCGAGATCAAGGCTGTGACCGATATAAATAATAAAAATTAGCTACACTACGTCGGATCGGCCAGCGCGATCGCAGCCTCATGCTAGGCAGGAGTGGGGAGTGCCAGCCGTATATTATCGGATTCGGACCTAGAGGAACTAAATAAAAGACTAGTTTACGTACGGATCGGCCAGCGCGATAGTAGCCCGATGCTAGGCAAGAGTGGCGAGTGCCAGCCGTATGTTAGGAACTAGAGGAACTAATTAAAAGACTAGTTCACGGGAATCTATTCAGTCGGCAGATCCGAGATATAATACAAGGCGACGACGATGGATTCGGCCTTGTCTATTTCCACAGCCGGTGTAATTACCACAGAAAATTTTTATGGATACTGTTTTTCATTTTTAGTTTGTTCTTTGAATTAATCTTTTTTATCTGCAATAAAACTTATCTATATATTTTTAACAAACGCAATTACACGTCTCGTAATATTTCGTACATTATAAAAATTATACAGATCATACTTTGAATAGTTCTGACTGACAACGAAACCCATTAGCAACCAACGGGGATGTCAATGTTAGTCGGGAACTATTGTGAACTAAAGACCTAGT